ACGCCCCGTACTTGTTCTCTCTTCTATTCGCTCTAATAAATGGCAATTTAAATGGCACTTTAAATGGCACTTAATGGAGTCTGAGGCCAGCAGCTGCCGGTGCAAAACACCCCTGGGCACGGGGCAGACAGCACCCCGCTCTGCTGGAGCATGTGGGGAAGGTCAATGCTCACTGACCTTCTGACAAAAATCCCCCAACACCCATACATGATAACAAGCCACTTAGGAACAGAAGCCCTAGAACATCCTTTAGGTCATCCGCATCCTGGTGCTTCAAGGTTTAATTCTAGGTTTGTTTTTTTATTTTTAATTTAAAGAGGAGAAAGGAGTAATACTTCCCCTTCCTGCCCACTTCTGTTCGCACATAGACACACGTACTTCCCACAATAAAGGAACCCCTGTATTCCAGACAGGGATTGGGCTGGACTGGGAACCTCGCTGTATTTCCTGCAGGCCAACCACCCCTTTCACCTAAGGTCAGCAAACATCTGTAGCCTCAGCGTGGGAATCCGAGTAGCATTACTGTCAAACAGCTAATACCAACTGAGCTCCTGCTAGGTGGAATGAATTATTTGTCCAAGATACTTGAGGATAATGCAATTTCTGAGACTTCAAGGAACTTCATCGCTGTTGAGAATGTCTCGTTGAAAAAAAAAAGCATGACACGTGAGAAAAGTCAGAAACATAAGGAATTTCTCTGAAGTTTCTGCTACCACCCATTAAGGGTTTGGTTTTTGTCACTTTCTGCCTAGAACTTAAATAAATGTTTCCTGTTTGCTTTGTAGAGGTACATCCCTTGCAATTCTGTTAAACAATGAGCAAGGACATTTTGTTTTCTCTACTTCAAATGTGACTGAGTAGTCCTCATTACAGACAGACAATATCAAATACAGTACTTTTCAATTAGTACTTATAGCTAGCTTTTATTCATTGTAGAACAGTGTAAAAGGTTCCTTTTAGCCTTTGTACTGTTGGCATAAATAGTATAATGGAAAGGAGGGGCAGATCAAACTGTGCATTGACCAGGTGTCAGTGTGAAGGTCAGGATGAAAGCTCTCTGAGTTTTTGAGATACATGATAAAATTAGACATTTATAGGTTAAGGCAATATCTTATTATATTAGCTAGTATAGATTTTTTAGAAAGTACACACTTCAGGGGGAAAAAAGCCCTTATTTAGCTCTAAAACAGAAGCAACAAATTCCAGCCAGAGCAGAACTAGAGAGCAATTTTCCAAATTCTTTAGGTGTGAATGAGACAATCTAAGAGAAAGTTGATACCTGTGGAATAGAGGTAATATGAGTAGGAGAGTAAGAGAAGTGATAATTAGCTCTTGGTGATGGGGAAAAGAATAGAGAAACGGGTAATTTCTAGTCTCTAAAACATGGAAAGCAAAGCAGAAGGGAAGTTGTAGTATGTCACAAAAAAGTCCAATATCACCTGCAATCCACTAGCGTTGCCTGTGTCCTTAAGCCCATTTGCTATTCTGACACCATCATGACAAAGTGTTGGCTGTCACCTTTCCTGGTGGCCTTATTTCTGCTGTCTACACAGACCGCTTTCATTCAGGTTGCCAGAAGAGAGACATGGTATTACTGCAGTATTTTGCAAGTAGAGGAGTTAATTGAGTGGGAAGGCTGTATCTAGAGCTTTCCTCTGCTGCACATTTTTCTGCTGAAATTCTGCTGGTGGATATCTGAAATTAGCGGGTTTTAGAGCTGTACTGAATCACAGTCTTTCTGCAGTAGTATAGGTTTGATGGCAGCGGTGGACTGTGTATCAAAACAGTCCACATTCCTGGAGCCATGCAATGTTTCTGAGCTGTCAAAAAAAAAAAAAAAAAAAAAGGAAAAAAAGAGAAGAAAAAAAAAAACCAACACAGGGTATCTCTAAGTATATTATTAGCAGTACACTATACCTCACTATCTAGTGGAATATATAAGCACTGGGCAATTTTTAAATTTCTGTGAATCAAAAATATGATGGTTCATAACCCAGTATGCTACCCTGTAGAAAACAATATAGGTGAGCAGTTCTATTGCTGTTTTATTTAAGACTGTTTTTCAAGCTGCTTGATCTAAAAAGATACTTCCTTTGCCATAATAACCTCCTTCACACATAAAAATAAGTTATCCAAAACATTTATTCAACAAAGTATTTGATAAATTCCTAGTGTTGTTCTTTTACAACAACTAGTTACTTCTGTAACATTAAGGTTATATGAGCTCTTTTTACTGTGAGACAGTTTTTATGAGAATAAATTGTCCAAACATATCTACCATACTTTATTTTTTATGAATTACTGTAAACATCCTGTTCCACTTGAGATCTTTATTATGAAAGCCACACTTAAATATACACAAAAGATCTTAAATATAACTGTTGATATACAGTTCAAGGTTTTTTCTTTCCCCTGTCAAATAATCTGATGCAGAAGAATGATACAGGCTTTAATAAATAAAACAGTATATTGTGATATGATTAAGATATCTAAGAAAGTTATTAATTGCTGTATATCTATATATAAACATCAACATCTTTGCACCCTTCCTTGGGTATTTGAATGACAGTGGGTTGGTCCTTTGACTTTCTATTCACTTGCAAACAGGCTTATTTCAGACTTTTTTAAAACAGTATGCAACTACTTAACAGAAATAAGCTAATTACATAAGGAAGAGCTACAGTATCATCATTTGCTTTTAGACATTAAGTTCGCAGACATCCTCCAGCCAGGTAAAAAAACTCCTTTCATTATATATTGATCTGAATTCTGTGAAAACAGTGAACACCCTGCATATCAGTAATAGCATATTCCTAACTACTTTTTTATGAGAGATGAAAAATGAGCTGTAATATGGATTTTTATTTAGTTCAAGTAAATAAGATACCATGTTGTTCTGCAAGAACATTTATAGCTAAAGATGTAATTATTAAAAACCCAAGTTTTCATATGTCAAGATAGAAAAAATATTAATTTATGAGTATTTACGATCACTCATGTTCAAAAGCATTGCTAAGTTCTGTGTGCTTCATTTTATATTTCTATCAAGTGTACATTCTTCACCTTAAACTTCTGCTTCTAGACATTTTACTGTGGCCTCAGGCTTGGTTTTAGAATCTTCTGCCTTTTTTCCATTATTCTTTGTTTCCTTCTCAGATGTTTTGTCATTTGACTTAGCCTCTTTGAGAGCAGTAGTTTCAACCATTTCTTTTTGCTGATTCTTGTTTGAAAATGGGAAGGTTTTCTTGTACCTTTAAATAGGAAAAAAAGGATAGTAAAGCAGAAATATGGACATAGTTTGGTAGTATCACTCAAGAAATAAAGTGAAAAATATCGAGAATTAACTTTCTTTGCCATACTTAAGCAAAAGTCTCACACAGAATTGCAGCATGCTAGATCATTGTCCTTTTTCAAGCAGTGTGCTTTTTAAAGAAATAGTTTGGTTTTTTTGTTTTTTTTTTTAAGCCCAGACATTATATTCAGGGTTCGTGGTATATAGCTACAAAGCTATCTGAGCTAGGATGTGTGAAATGCACACAACTTTTCAATACAGTTTAATGATGCACTGTGAAGATCTTTACACATGACAAATGAGCTCAACAATTATTTTTTTCTGAATGGAATTATAGTCCAAGAATAAAAACTTTTACCTTGAGTCTGACATAGAAAGAAACAAGAATAAAACTGCATAAACAGGCTTCTATACACACAGACGCACACTTCAATGTTGCTATTTTGGCACACTTGAAAAGGTTTCATACCAGGCATGACTGACTAATCAAAAATAGGCAGTATTTGTCTTTGGTTCCTTTTCTAAAGCAGGGAATGGCAACAGTAACAAACTTTATCTGCATAATAATAGGGCTTATGATTTTGTTCTTTGTGCTACACTTAAGTCATTATCATTACTTCTCTGCTCTTTAGCTATATATTTAAAATAGTCACTGGTTGGTTCTAGGAGTTAACTCAGAGGAAAAAAAAACAGGCAAAGAACAACTTACTTTTTGATATAGCAGACTGCTAGAACAACTGAAATAATGAAGAATATGACTGCCAGTACAAGAAGTGCAGTGGGGATACCTAGAGATAAAAGTGAGGTAAGCATAGAACTTTTATATGTACTTAATTCTGACTTTCTAAAGGCTCATTGGCATAAAAAAAGATTCTTCTAAAAACAGCCTCATATAAAAGGTATATACATATCAACTCAAGAGTAGAGGTATTAGGAATCTCAAGATGTTAGTTACTACTCCTCGTCTTTTCAAGAAAGACTAAAACAGGTATTTAGGCAATCCCTGACAGATGTTTGTCTAATCTGCTCATTGGAGGGTTTTAGACATCAACCTGCCTGGATAACACATTTTTTTATTAACTATATCCTTACAATTAGAATGCTTTTCCTCATATTTAGTCTGTTTCTCAGTTGCTGTATATTAGGATTACTTATTCACACCTCGTGTCTTGAGAACACCTCCATATTTGGTGAACAATTCCTCTTAAAACTGTCATGGCATCTTTTGTTTTTAAGAGCCTGCAGAGTTTTCCATTACTCTGAGCAATGTTTGCTAAAACTTTCTCAGAAATGTAGTTACTCCAAATCACTTTAACCAGAATGAACTTTCAGCATCTCATATTAAAATATTATCAAAAAAGTATAAAATAAGATCTACTTAAAAATATTTTAAAATCCTCTGCCTTATAAGCTTTGCTTTTGAAAAACCATAATGCTCCTATTCTGCCTCCAGGTTCAGTTATATAAAAATGGATGCTGGAGTGGCAAACCAAAATAGCAGTAAACAGTTTTACTACTAACATCTATGTAACTAGCTCTTCTGATTAAATAGCTACCACACATGGCTTTTACCTCCAAAGACAATGGCATCATTCTTAAAGGCAGCATGGGAAGTGTAGTTAGGAGAGTCGATCAGTGAGTTTTCCTCTGGCATTTTTGTTGTAGTCCCCTCTGTTGGCAATATTGTTTCAGTTATACAGATAACACGAAATTTTATGTTTTTCAGGGATTTTTCTGACTCAGTCACACTAGGCACTGCTGTGATGTTCTCAGTCAAATCAGAACCTGAATACGCAGATGAGTCTGTTGGTGCACTTGAAGAAGGTAGTATGGTTGTAGTTGGATCTGGATAACATGAATTAATCTGAACATCTGCAGCAGAGAAAGGAAATACATAAGAGTTGTATTGGATGTTAGTTTTGTACTTACTGTACACACATGTTTATTGAAATTGTTCCTCAGTCATTCCCTTCTGGAAATTATTACTCGTTTGTTCACAAAAGCCTTGCCCAAATCCAGCATGACTATTTCAAACATGTGGCCACAACCCCGATTACACACCTTTTATCATTAGTAAAACACTTTTTTGAGCCAGAGTGGCACTCACTTTATAGCATACCAATTACAAGATTCCTCCTGAAAAGCACTTAGAATAATAATGCACATAGAAAACAATAATATGACCTCCTGCAGAGCAGGAGACTTAACTGCAGGTCCAAGGTTAAAAAATTTCTCTATTATATTATGAATATGTTCAAAACATCTGCAAGCACTGTTGATATTCGGAACACTACTTTGATTTCCTGGAAACAAAAGTAGCCCATAAAACTTTCAGGTAAACCAGATATCAGTATGAGATAAAAAAGATACATGTTTCTAACGGGGGCTAGAAAGAAATAAACTTCAGGCATACTCAGAAATTAAGTAATTTAAATTTTGTGAATGTTGTCTATATAAAAATGTGGGTGCAAGTGGACATTTATATGTAAATGGAACAGCTGAGTTCTGAATCAGGCTTATGTGAAAACATGGAAATTCTTATTCTCTAGTGAAATTCTATATTCTGTAAAGTTATAAAAATTTCACTAAAGTAACAAGCAGATTACAACATAAATAACAGGGAAACTACGTACATACTGTTCTTCAAATGAATCCCCTTGGGAAGTCTGATGACGCAGCTCCATTCACAGAATAAAAAGCTAAATGGCAGAGGCTTTTTTACTTTTTCCACTACAGTTTTCAAGTGATTTTGGTATTTCTTTGTCACAAAGAAAATTAACAAAATGAGCTTCTGCCAAATATTTTGGGTAAGAAATGCCTAGAACATGCGACTGTTTGGCAATTAAGATAAAGAAATGCAGAATCATCCCAATGTTAAATATACATTACTTTAAGTTATTTTCTGACCATTCATCAAGCTTAACTTTCTTCACATATTGTAACAGTATTTTTTTTTTAATTAAAGCTAAATAAAGCAAGTAATTTGGAATTACTTGCTACCTCCTTAGAATTACTTAACCTACCCAACATTTCTGATGCAGACTGACACCTATTTCACACACTGAAACACCATGTTGCATAGGAACAGAAGATATAACAGTACCAATAGGAGCAGCTTTTTTTAGAACATGTTGCCCAAGTACTAATTCACCTATGCAGTCATCAATAATAGCTGTGGACTGCAGACAAAAACCAAGTTAGCCCAATGATGGAAATTTTAACTTTGCAGGCTAGGTGATAAGTAAATTTATAATGTGCTTTCTCTCTGTGGCACTTTCTTATCAGCAGTCAGATACTTTGTAAGCCAACTACTTGTATTACCTACTCTCCTTCACTAAAATGACCCAGGATCATGAACAAAGTTCCACTGGTGAAGGCATGGCCTTCTCCCTAACAGCTTTATCCTCTGTCTCTTCATAAGCTCCAATATTCACAGTCACCAGACATGGTCTTAGGTCTTTATATCTTTGCATGGGCATATCTTGCAAATCCATCTGTCTCCTGCTCTTTACAGCCTTTGTTCACACATCTTTCCTGAAAAATTTCAGGATTTTGTAAATAATCTCTTGCTCTTGTTATCTAAAACTCATTAGAAAGTTCTAGGGACTGATTAGAAATAATTTATAGATCCTGTATATAGCTTAATTATTGGGGTAGTTGTTACATAATAACCATAGATATGGGACACTAGCAGGAACACAATGCCTCTAGTTAGATACTTATTTTTAGTTAATACCACGGAAGTCTTTACGAAACAATACTGATCTGTTGTGCTGAGATTTAACTTATATCAAGGCCCAAGTTCCACTGTTGTATCTTCAATCTGGGAATAGACAGCCAAGAATGAGGGGAAGGACAGGTCTTTTCATACATAGGATGATGCACATTAAAAGGAGCTGCTTGATTTTACTGATAATAGATTGGGAATCTCATTAATTTTATGATCTCTCAGCTATTCTAGCTTACATTTTAATTTAGTTTAATAGATACATTTCCTTTTATCAAAAAACATTAAACTTTTCCTGAAGTACTCCACACCTGGTCTTTTTACAAGAAAACACCACACAGACACTCTGGTTAAAGATTCAGTTCCCTGTCTTTCAAATTAACGTGCCTAAATAATCAAAACATTTTAAGATTGTGTCAACATTACAGAATAGTAAAAGCAACTCTTCTTCAAGAACTTTCATGGCAGCACCAAATTATTAATTTGGATTAACTGAATTGTTATTTTTTATTCTTGGAAGCTTTTTTTCCTTACAGAGCTAAGTAAAATTTGACAACATTTAAGATGACCAACAAATTATAAGAACTCACTTACTTGTTATGATTTTGTACATACCTGAGGAATTGAAGCAGTAAACCTTAAATGTTTTAAAGGGTTCAGCATACCATGGCACTAGTCCAACATTGCCCTTACCACATTTCTTGTTGGATGTTATCCGAGGAATGACAACAAATCCATCTTTCACCCATCCGTAGCTACAATAAAAATCATCGCTCCTTTTAATATTAGATTTATCACTGGCCTCAGATGTTTTTAAAGGCATTCACTAAAGGTAACGAGACACTAACTGATGTCATGTACCTGCATGTTTCAAAGCCATGTTTCAAAGCCTTTTCAACCTGGTCTTTACTTGCTAGTTGTAGATTCAATTGATTACATGCATTACTTGCTTCAGAGAAATTCACTTTCTCCTCAAGATAAATTCCTACACCTGTGATCCTGCAAGGTGAAAGAATGGAACCTGTAATTTAGACATAAATATTCAAAGTTAGCATTTGAATATTAAAATTTATTCCTCATGAAGAATTTAACATCATGTTCAACTGAATTGAATGTCATTAAAAGTTTCTGGCTTAAGGAGAGAAGAAAACTAATTTCTAGCAAAAAGATATACTTTAAAAATAGAACATATCTCCTTAACACAATAGTCTAGAGTTTCAAGAGGTTTGGCTGTTATTAGACTGAAAGCATATACAGTTGGCATTTGAGTCATTACCTGAATTCTGTTTCTTACTAAAGACATTCTTATTTGTCATACTTATTAATGCAAAATAGGAAGAATAATCAAATAGTTTTATCATTTTAATTATTAGGGAAAAACCCTTAAGAGTTGCACTGAGGCATTGATTCTGTCAGTATACAACTCTTACCAATATGAGTTCTATCAAAGGTACTACACATAATTTTTCATGGAATTAACATACCAATAAGAAAATACACCTATAAAGATTTTATCATTCCTTATGTTCCTTATTCCTCCTAAAACTTTTTTTCTTTTTTCCTAGCTTGGCTTGATGCTTCCACCCTCCCCAGCCACTGTCAAGTGTTCAATTTACTGTGTGCTTGACAGGCAGCAGGAAAAGAGGGGATAGGCCAGGTGAATTTATGACACTTTTCCCTATTCCTCCTCCATAGGCAGTTCATCCAGCTTTTTTAGATAGCCACAGCTGGCACACTATCCATAACGTCCGCAGCAGGAAAGGCACAGCTTAAGTCTGATTACACCTGCTCTACTTTCCTAGCATGTGTTAAGGACTTAAGACAGAATTCAGGATTTGACACAAACAAGGAGAAAGGATATTACTCTTTTGCCTCTGTATTTCACAGGAAGCGTATACTGGAAAAAGATTTCTTTAAAATTTTTGAGTTACATAGAGTAATTGCCATATTAAATTAAATATTTCAATATTTCATTAAAACATTTCAGATGACTAACAGCCACAGGTGTTACTTTCTTGCTCAATATGCTTTTCAGACTGTATGCCCACCACATATGTACACTAATGAATACTTCATAAAATTTATGCATCAGAATACAGGCAATCCACAAACTCTCAAGGCAGGATGAAGTGATGCTTGCAGATCCACCACATGGCTTCTTAGCAACAGAAGTTCAATTGAATTTTATGAATGAAAAGATAGAACTAGCAGCCAAGCCACCCCCATGATGAGAAGTGGTTAAAAAGATGATTAAGCTTGTGTGGACTGCCAAAAGAAAGGCAGGCTTTCCACTCCTGCTCCCACTGGGTTTGTGGGGATTGGAAATGGCTTCTGGTAAAAGATGTGTTTCCTTATATTTAGTTTAATTGGACTTAAATGTTTGGTAGAGCAGTCATTGAATTAGGTGAATTTATCTCAGCTGTGGCCTCCCATTAGTACTTCCTGGTATGGTGCAGACCCAGTCATATGGCAGGTCAGCCACTGAACACTTGAGCAGTCCCCATAACCAAATCCTGGCTGCATCCAGCCCTGACTTGAACATAAGATCAGCCCAAACGTATGGCACGAGTATGCAGAGAAGCTGTGTTGCTCCAGGAAAATGTATGTATAGGTATCAAGGACTTCAAGTCTATACAAATAGTCCCAGTGTGAAGATGATTTGAACTGTCAAATTTCTTCCTTTCAGCCAGCCTGTCTTCATGAATGTCCTCTTTTGTGTCTTCATTTTGTCCAAAGTACTTCTGTGTCAGAGAAGAGTCCCAGTGTTGTTTTCTTGATTCCCTTTTGCTAACAAGCAACTCTCATGGTCCTCCTGAGAGTCATCTCTGGTTTCCTAAAAAAGTCCCTGTCTCAGCTGCTGGGGCACATCCCTCATTCTCAATGTAATGTTGAGAATGAAAGTTTCTCAATGACCAACATAACATATTTCAAATAAACTTGAGCAGCTGACTGAATGGAATTTCCTGAAACCTTAGAAAGTTGCCTAGATATTTGTAAATTGTTGTAGTCGTTAGTCATTCCATTCAAGGACAAATATTTTTACATGAGAACTGCATGATAGATACATAGCATAACATAAAAATTAGAGTACCAGAAAATTAAGTCTTAAGTGATAAGAGAAGTGACTGTAGGATACTGACCAAAGTGATACCTTAGAATTAAGTAAGCATTTTAAAACAAAATGGAGAAGTAAAAGAAAAGTTTTGGAAAAGTTATCAGCTTCAATCTAAATTTCAGATGGTTTTACAGTGTTAGGAAGAAATCCATAAAGAGACCAGCAGCTTCTTCAGGTCTTTTTGTCACTTCTTAAATAATCTCTGAACTCTGTTCTAAAGACATTTGAGTTTGCATGGGAGACAGACTAATCTCTTAGAAGCATATTATCCTTTTTGGTCCACAAGCCATGCATAACTATAGTTTAAGCTTTGCTCTGTTTAGTTAATCTACTAATACTGGGACATCTTCCCCAGCAGTTGGGTCTTGTATGAGAAATCTGTTTTACTGACAAAGGTGGGAAGACTAGAGAAGACAAATGTGTCATAGGACAGGAAGAAAATTGTTCCATTTTTGTAAGGTATGGGTATTGGCTTTATTGTACATTAGTTCTCCTGCTTTTTTGGAGAAGCTGTTATTTCTGTCTCTTTGCCTTGCTCCAAGCCTTCACTCTGATTTATTAGAGTTTCCTTTCACCGCTGATGTCAGGAAGTGGCAAGATAGAGGCTGTTCCACAAGGAAAGAGGAGCCAGGAGCTAAGGGTGACCGCAGCACAGGAAGGACAGTGCCCTCACGGACCAGGGCACAGTCCCACAGCATCACAGGACCACAGTAGTGACAGTGACAGGTTTCACTTGAAGCCCCAGAGACAGCAAGAAAATGAGTCAGATGCAGGGTTCATCCAGAAACTCCATTTGAGAACAGCAGAAAATGATGCTACCTATAACACATACCTGAAGTCCATCCTGGAGACAAGGCTACCTACCACTTAAGTCCAGGGTCCATCCATTAAAGGCCACTCAGTAAGTCACTACAGGAGGGGACAGGGCATGCTACAACACAGCTCAAAGACACAGCTGGAGATCAGCCCTGAGCTTAACTGGAGCTCTTGGACCAATGAGCAGAGGGTGCATGAGAAGGTACCCCAAGGCAGGCTTGGAGGGGAAACTAAGACTCAAGCTCATTATTTCCCCAGTGAAAATTATTCAGTGGTTGGGATTGCTGGAGAAGACTACTGTTGTTAGGTATTCCAGTCCTGTGGAATTTCAACAGGACTGGAGCTGAGCATCTATTTCACTCAGTTCAGATTTCCTTCAGAAGCTTTTCACTAGATAAGATCAACTGCCTGCAACAATAGTGTATGTTCTTTTACACAGGTAGAACATGCATTTACTCTTTGCAAATTACAGTGAAACATCTGATATACATTAAGTATCTGTAGATATCCTCGTAGCTACTGCGGTTAGAATAGATTGAGTCAAGTTGATTATGGAATTTGAAGGAGAAGACATTTATATTTCACTAACATATAGAAGAAAGGGGTATTATATGACCCTGATAGAAAAAAAAGGTTCATATAATAATGTTTGAGGGAGGAGGGTTATCTAAGAACCATGTGATAAAATTGATATTGGCAATTCCCTAGGTTTATTTTTTTTTTTCAAATAGATACTTCATAAAGAATAGGAACTTCTGCACTGTAGTAACCAGAGACAGGCACGACTGCCCTGGAAATGAACTGCAAGATCCCTGCCACCCATTTCCTTCAATGTTGCAAATTAAGACAGTGTCAGGATATTGCCAAGTCAGAGCAAAACACTTTGCATTAAAGATAGCATTTTATCACGGACACACAGAACTGGTTTCATGCATGTTTTCCTGTCTGAGGATTGTACAAACTGTTTGCTGTGATATTTTAAATAATACAAAATAAAATAACATTTCAATAGATCTGAACTTAATCCTAAATGCAATACCAAATCTTTAAAACAAGCAGTTCTGTAGCATTTAGACAATAATTAGACTAACAATGAAAGAGTTCCCTTATATGCTAAAGTAGCTTCCATTACACTGTATTCTCAAAACCCCGTGGTTTCCTATGCCAGAAACATATTTACATACAGTCCCTTGCCCCCACTTTTTTAAAGTACTTTACTTGGACTAGTAATTTCAAGTACTTTAGTTCAAGTAGAAGGCTTTAAAAAGTGGAACTTTACATACCTTTTATAAAGTAGTTTTGAGCCATGAATGTCATAATCCAGATGAAAAACACTGCTGAGGTAACTCCAAAGTAAATTGCCATTGTCACTAACTCAGAAAATTAAGAAATTCAAGGTGATTTGTCTCCTGTTCGAAAGGGTAAGTTATTGGATACTGCCAGACCACCTTTGAGATGACTTCTTGAAAGCAACTTCAGCTGTCACTGCACTGCTTCGTAGAAAGAACGTCAGAGCAAATGTGTTAACTGTCCCATTCAAAGGTGAGGTCACTGACTGGAAATCCCTAATCACCCTTTACACTTTCTTTCATGTAGGGTTTGCTGGAAAGTTTAACTACTGCTGACTCAGAAAACACAGCTGAGGAAGGGAGATAAGACTGTTAGATTGCTAAGTCAGTAAACACTTTGAAATAAGATTTTCTTTTGCTATTTTTTCCTGTTTTACTGATTATCAGCTCATTACTCATATTGTCTATTCATCTGGTAAATAAAATGAGTTCTCTATTGTATCACAGCATGCCAGGCAGGATTTTTCTTTTGGAATTAGAAGGGCATTGATTCCCCACTATCTTATTTGTCTTGATGTAGTATTTTTACCTTTCTTTGCCTTAGGGTTCCAATGCAAAAATAGGTACCATAACAGAGAGATAATGTGATACTTAGTTTTGATCATGTTGGAGATACGCTACTGTAAGTGGGACTGTAGGGACAGAGGTGGCAGCCAGTCCCTTAAATACTGCCTTTTGTGAAGTTCCAACAAACAGTGATTCCAACAGATGGATTCAAAACACAGATGATTCTCATGGCTATAACTTAGGAAACCTTCAGGAAGTCTTAGCAAAGAAACATGGGGGTTTTTTTGCAGAGATTCCAACAAACA